TGACTTTATGTAATCGGTTGTGGAGCAATGTGGACATGGTTTCTCTCCGCGCTTGTTTTTTTTTTTTTTTTCGGTACTGTCATCCCAGGCTGTGTGTTTTTTTTTTTTTTGGACACGATTTCTCTCCAGGCTGTGTGTGTTTTTGGACATGGTTGTGGAGCAATGTGGACATGGTTTCTCTCCAGGCTGTGTGTGTGTGTTTTTTTTCCGGTACTCTTCTTCTTCTTCTTCTTCTTCTTCTTCTTTTTCTTCTTCTTCCTCTTCTTCATCCTCCTCTTCTTGTTCCTCTTCCACAGACACACCTGCAAGGTCTGTGACATCCGACATCCCCCCGACATTCCTGGCCCTGTTTTTGCGTCGCCCGGTTCACCCGGCCGGGGTCCGCCCGGCCGGGATCCGCCCGGCCAGGGCCCAACCGGCCGGGGTCCGCCCGGCCGGGTGCCGGGGCAGCCTAGGTAATTAATACATCTGTTTTTAATTTTTCACGTATATCTACTCTCAAGTGCTGCTGATAGGAGCAGACACCACTAACACCTAGAAGGAGGCTCCGTCTATTGGTGGGGAGCATCACCTGGTGGAAAACAGGTCCAGCGTCCCTTAGACAGAAACTGAGAATGTCTGAGAACAGTGATTGTGAGGCCTGCCAGCATTGATTGCCCTGTCTCCAGGGGATTTACTGAGCGGGTGTGTGTGTATCACAGTGGTGTAGCCCTTGTTTCCCGTATCTCTTCACCCCCGGGAGGGTGCCAGATGTCCCATCAAGAACCTAGTTATAAATTACTATTTGACTGTATTTTCTTTCATCTGTGAGTGGCATGAATGCTCCTTTTCTACATCCGTATTTTCGTCTGATATTTCTGAAAAATATCTTGAGTTTTTTTCTATAATTCTAAAACTACTATAATCCTGAATCTCTCCTGTGGGATAAGGTGGTATGGGAAAGGGAGAGCCCAGCTCTGCAGGGGTCTCATTACGAGGGTGCTGAAACCCTGAAGGGGGCACGGGCAGATTGCCATGAATACTCTATTCTGGGCCTGGGCATTAAATCCCGGCGGGGCCAGATTAGGGTGAGGGATAGACAGTGGTATACTTTGGGTGGGAACTGTATGTCACTGGGGAAATGAGGTGGGACTGTACTTAGTTGGAGCATAAGAGTAAGGATTAATTAGTCTTTTTTCTTCAGCAGGGGCAATAATGGGACAGGGGAATTGAGGAAATGGAGGAAGGAAGGAAGGGGGAGATTTTTCCTTTTCTTATCATCTGAATGCTATATCAAGCTTCCTGTCCTTTCGCCCCTGGAGCATGGTCCCATTAGCATTCGGATAGGAGTGTGGCCGATCCAGTGTGACACTGAGTGGCAGAAGCCTGACAGGTTCATTACGAATTTCTGGGGTGAGAAAACAGGAGAAAGGCAAAAAAAAAAAAAAAAGAAACAGAGACCTCCCACCTGAAATCATGGCAGAGTGCTTCCCAGCCATCAGATCACAAATGATCTGATGGTGGTGGTTGCAACAACAGTGAACAAAGTAACTGCCACATTTTCTGGAATAAACTCAACTTCTGTCAGCAGTGATCCTGACGCCCTCCATATACTCCGTGATTGAAGGAGGGCTCCACCCAATGAGATAATTGCAGAACAGCAAGAAAAATACTGAAAATCTTCTATCCAGTGGGCCTATGGCAGGCCCCACTCTCTTTTGGGGTTCGCCATAACCCCAACGGATTGACAAGAGTTTGGCCGGAAGCTTCCTTTGCACCGGCATGCCCAGTGTTAAGGAGAGGAGGAGGGCAACAGAGATCTCCTTACTTTCTCGGGTAATACATGTGAACTCTTCTCTATCTTATCCAGATAGTGGGACCATGCCCCTGGTTACTTCTGGTTTCCTGTTATTAGGTACAGTATTCCAAGAGATGGTAAAATCCAGGCTGTCGTTAGCAGAGTTGTCTGGTTTTGTGCTCCTGGTGTACCGATGCCAGAATGACACTGGCCAACGCCAGGGCATTGCCCTGTAACCTGCAGGTAGTAGGAGTGCTAGGCCTTGTAGAGAGATCTGGGGATTGTCGAGGGTGGAAGGTAATCCAATGGTGTACGAAGGGGAGCCGCAAGAACAACCTACTACTCGTCGTGGGACCATGCAAGCCCATCTGACTACTATTCTTCATCTTGCGAGATATGTGGTGGAGGTCGGCTCATTGCGAGAAGAAGACTAGGGGGGGGTTGCAGGGATGTGCGGGGGTTGGTAAGGCAATAGTCTAGGTGGCGAGAACATGATATCTATGGTTGATGCTTGCTTGGATGTTATTGTCTCTTGGAGGTTGTCTCATAGCTGGCGAGGAGTTGCTTAGGGTTCATAAAATCAGGATTGCTGTATAGTATAGTTTTCTGTGATCTTTTGGTAGATTAATCCTCTGTTTTACAATCATCACCATCACTACAATCATCATCATTAAAATCGTCTTCATCACACGAGGGACGCTGAGCCCGGTTCTCAGCAGGTTATGTTCGGTTCTTCCGAGTAGACTCTGAGCACCCCGGCCGCAATTTTCTTATTGATAATATCCGCCTTGGGCACTGGGCCCGTTTATTAAAAAAAAAAAAAAAAAAAGAAATACTAATCCCCGAATGGGCTTGAATCAATCTTGAATGGCTAACTATCTGCTGCCAGTAAAGCACCAACGGACTAAAGCACTGACTTACTTGAGCATTCCTCCTCGCTGGATGTTACCATTTCCAGTGTCAATTTCTTCATAGAGCCCAACTATTGTCTCAAGACGACACTTCTGTGATCTTGTTCTGCATGAATACTTGCTCAGAAGAGGCCACTCCTTCGATCCCACGACCTGTACCGAATAAAATTTCATAGTGCACCACACAAAGGCAAACCAAACATTATCACCATCAATCACAATGCGCAAAGCCAAATGCACAAGCGATGTACCCTGTTCACCAAAACGTGTGAAACTATCGGATCCACCATATGGAACTTGATTCACCTCCTGTTCTCTTATTCTTTCCACACCAACGAACATGCTGTATGACATCTGACGCCATCCAACCGATKCTCAAACGCAAATAGGAGAAAAGAAGCTTACCAGCACTAATCAATACAGCAACCACCAGAACACCCCTTAGGCCTCCTGTTCTCTTATTCTTTCCACACCAACGAACATGCTGTATGACATCTGACGCCTTCCAACCAATGCTCAAATGCAAATAGGAGAAAAGAAGCTTACCGGCACTAATCAATACGGAAACCACCAAAACGCCCCTTAGACAATAAATGGGAACTACCCGCAATATAGAACTTGATTCACCTACAGGCAGAACAGGAATACAGCAAAGAACCAGCAGCTCTTCAAGAAATGCTGAGACAGTTGGAACAAGTGGCCCAAGAGATAAGGGCCAAGACGCAAACAGGTAATAAATGAACACTATACGAAGTACACTTCCAAGGGAAGACAGAGGTGGGTCTCAAGAAGAGGAAGACAATGAACTTGGATGAGAAGATGGGGACAGATGCAGAAGAGGAAAGGGAAATTACAGTTTCTGATTCCCTCAACAACGGTGCAAGCAGCAAAGCAAGCAAGGACAGTGAAGCGACAAGGGAGACAACCGTGGAAAGTGCATCTGAGCCCCAACGGTCTGTTCAGTGGCTGAGGGAAAACATCGAGAAGGCCAAGTTCGAGAGAGCACATGTTTGACATCAGAGCAGCCTGTCTGAAGCACATTGAGAGATCCCAGAAAAATGGGATGAATGGGACGATTGCTGGCACTGAGAAGTCAAAAAATCAGTATGACACGCTAAAGAAAGAGAAGGCAAAAGACCACTCAGTAAACATTATCCCTGAATCCCTGGAAGTCATCATGCACTCAGACGTGTCTATTGGAGAGCGCACAACAGATACTACCCAAACAGTTCAGCCCCTAGATGAAATCAACGCACGAATCCACACCTCCTAATTAAGACATAAGACTCGGGATTAGCACAGGTCCAAGATAACCAAGACCTACGGTAATAGCAAGAATAGCTTTGAACAGTTTCAATATTCGAGAGGACAGACAAAAGATAAGAGAATAACCGGTATTTAAGCTAGCAAGCAGGACAGCAAGTAAACACGCATAGGAACGGAGAGGAAGGATAGATGAATCCTAAGGCTCCACCGAAGGTATTACTGCAGGACGACAAAGTGTAGAGGTGCATAGAATCCGAGCAAAGGACCCGAGCAACAGTTCTAGCATATTGGACAAGATCCAAATAGACAACTGCAAACCAGAATGCGAGTATTAGAGCTAATACCACATTAGAACAGGCTAACTTAGGCAGGGGTGAAGGGCAGTACATCCCTCCTCCGGGAGGTAATCAATGCCATCCTTTGAGCCTCCACACCATAAGGGGGAGGGGCGTGAGTGAGTTCTCCTTGTAACCTTTTTCTGACTTGCTGGTGGAATAGGAACCAGACTGATGCTCCCTAGAGTGGAAAAGGAGCCAGAACCCTAAGGTTCTGTTTACAAAAAAAAAAAAAAAA